CACGGTAGCATCCCGATCAGTTTTCGCAAAAATAAGTATTTGTTTAATTATTCAGAAAATTTGCGAAAAATCGCGCACTCTGATGTATTTAAAATAGCGGGGTGTTACATATTAAATAGGCATGTGCACATAATTGTTGTTGCTTTGATTCTTTGGGTGAGATCCAAGCCGGGTCGACGTACTTAATGAATTGGGTAATGACATTATGTGTTCGATGTGCTATTAGGATATTTACGGTCACCATGTGCGTTAGTCTGATGATGTCCCCGAAGTGAGTTCATGAAGGAATATTATGCTAAACCCTGCAGGTGGATTTATTCCGGCATAATATGAATGCTACGAGCGAGCGCTAGCTTCGGTAATGTAATATATTAATTAATTCTTGATTATTAGTGATCGAATTAATTAATGGATATTATATCTTAAACATGGGGAGGTAAATCGGATAATTATAATAAGGAGTCTCAAATGTAATTTGGGATAGGTAAAGGGAGTGCAATAATATTATTGTGGTGGACTTTAATATTATTAATATATTAATTGTGGGGTTGCTCCACAGTATTAATATATTAGAAGCCCTTATCCTATTCTCCTTAGGGTCCCTACTGTAGCTCTATATATACAGCATTAGGCTCTATGAAGAGAGACACAATCCCATAACCTTGGGAAATTCGTCCGCCCCCTCTCTCTCTCTCTTCCAAGGAGTTGTTCTATTTCTTGTGCTCCACTGATACAAGATCTAGATAGCTGAGAATACAGTAGAAGATCTTAAGGTATATACGGGATTCTAATCAGATCTATCATCCATCCAAACCGGAGACCAAAACCAGCAAGTGACCATACCACGATGACCAGGACGATGAGTCGAAGATATCGCCGTCGAGATCGCCGCCAGTCGCCGCCGCACGCGCCCACACGCGCCACCGGAAGATCGCAGCTGCTGAGACTCACACGCGCGCATGAGAGTGCGTGGAAGCTCCGATTTCCGATCGGTCAACGCCGTTGACTTTACCGTGACGCCAGCTTTCTGGATTGGTCAAGTTTGTTCGATTCCGAGAAGATTTGATTTGCGGTCAACCGTTCGGGCCACCCAGATCTACATAAATTTTAAGCCGTAAGTTTTTTACATCAAACCTTTAGATCCGCTGCGCATAGGTTTATGTTGAATGTTTATCCGTGATTTGTGCATATCAAGATCCTCATGGGTCCCAACAACGGCTTCATTCTCGACTTTCTGAGGATGACCTACAACACGCGTGGTTGTGGGCCTTCCATATCTCACCTCTCTTATGCGGATGACATTATCATCTTCACTCCTGCGAATGATAATGGGCTAGACGATCTCATGAGTCTTTTGGACCACTATAGTGAGACTTCTGCCCAGTTAGTCAGTGTTAGTAAGAGAAATTTAATCATGGACCACCACATTGTAGATCAGTGGTCCCATTGGATCCACGAGTGCACTGGCTTCGCTCGGGGAACTTACCCATCCCTTACCTTGGGGCCCCCCTATACAAAGGGCATCTCTCGCATGAGCTCTTCATCGACGTCTGTCAAAGGATGATTGGCCAGATTTCCGGTTGGTCGCATAGAAACCTATCATTCGGGGGTCGACTTGCTCTGATCAAGAGCACTCTTTGTGCCCTCACTCTTCACCTTCTCGCAGTTCTCGACCCTCATCAGTCTATGATCCATGAGCTAGATCAGATCTTAGCCCGCTATTTTTGGAGATATGGTGAGGGCTCGCGGGATCATTGGCAGACCCACTGAGTGAAGTGGGACTCCGTTTGTCGGCACTATTCTGAGGGTGTTCTCGGGATTTGGTGTTTCTTGAATATTGTCACTGCATTTTCCTACAGGATGTGGTGGCGCTTTAGGGAGGGCAAGTCTCTTTGGGCTAAGTACCTTCTCCAGAAATATTGTCCCGGTGGAGCTGCCCATCCTTTTAGGGTGACGGCCACTGCTCGTGATAGTCGACAGTGGAGACGGCTCACCAATGTTGGCAGACG